ATGTGGCTCGCAGGCCTTTAGTTTGACACATCTGGTCTTGGGTATCATAATTCAGGTCTATTGTCTAAACGATGAGCCAGGTTTTGAGAAATTTTGACAAGATCACCTGCCAAGTTGCAGAATATCTCCCCCATTATAATCACTGCATACTGCCAGTCTAAATCGTTTGATTCAGTCGGGGCCAGACTGATTTTTCTTCATGATGGAACAAAAGCTACTGTTTTGGCACTGCCGTTCTTCAAGATTGCGAGTCAAACCGGTTGTGACCATCGTATGTGAACAGCCAATCACAAGGCGTGTGGACTATCGATATTTACCATGTCCCTAGGATTCAAGAAGCTCCCAAAAACAACAACTGCGACAAGCAGTGGTTGACACTTGAAGTCATCATCGGTTAATTATTGAAGGAAATGACTTTGTTGTGAACGGCCAGTTTTTGTACAACAACACCGCTCGCTACTCAAACATTTAAATTAAACATTTAACGCACCACCTCTTTTTCCCGCGCTAAAGCAATCCATTCAATGGGCAGCCGTATTGGAAGCATCTCCGGAGTGTGAGCCATAAGCACCGCGAGGTAAAGGTTTTGGTGTGTGCACTATGTTTTAAAACGGGTTGTGTAGTGGTCACAGTTGGCTGCATCTAATCCGCATCAACAGTGGAGTAGTTGATCAGAAGACAGGTAGCGCACTCATGGGTTATGTCCCTTTTTGCGTCAAATCGACTCTTCGCTGAGGAAATTAGATATGATGATGTAAAAACGAAGTTTTCTAAAGTTTAAATATCGCATCAAATTAGATTCTTCTCGAGCCATATTACTTATTCTGATACCATGATTCCGAAAAATTCATAAAATGAAATAGGTGTTTAGCTAGTTGCAATAATTATTTGGCAAATTCTGCACGCAAGGTTGAATACCAAATGGCGGCAAGTCTCAAGGGGATTCTCCGACCCAGCTCATCTTTCCCAAATCGGATCTAGATCTCACAATAGATATCAGGTGAAGATAGGGGAACTGGTGAAAATGTCCTAATTTGTATAGCCACAGAGATACGACGAGTGGTCTTTTTAGCAGAACCTTACATAAATTACCCCAAAATAACAGAGACAACTGAAGTGACTGATAGCCCCAAATTTACGACTCGATTAAAAAAAAAATGGGAATGGGCGGTCCCATCGGCGGAATGAAGGACAACAGATAGGCAAAAAAAAAAAAACGGAATGGAGACCAAGGACAGGAAAAAGATCTAGATATAGACCAGAAAGATGACGGCAGGGCGACATCAAGGTAGAAGATTATTCGGAGACGTCTCCGGCGAGCACCCAGGAACTATTCAGAGACGCGCCCCCGCACACAGGTGCACTGCTTTGGGGGTCAAACTGAGCATCGTTTGCAGCAGATCACACATAATTAAAGCTACTAAAACTGTCGCAAATCAATTATTTTCAATAACTTTTCAAATCTAACAGCAAAATATCAGATTATGGGTTAAAAAGC